AATGAGCTTGCTGTTGCACCTTTAAACAAAGGAGACAAAGAAATTATTTTAGAAAAAAAATTCGATTTTTAAAAACTGATCGAGTTAGAAACAATAATTTTGTATGACCATAAATGCATGTAAATTACAAAAATTTTTTGAAATCCTACCAATTGGTATTGCATTGATTTCATAATTTCTTAATCCTACAACTGAATATACTTTAAATGCATTATTTTGGAAAAACGTAGCTCAGAATTTTTTATATTACTGATCGAGTAATAAATAACAATTTTGTATAACACTTTAGTAAATTGAATAAATTTGTCAAAACCAGCAGATTGGTATTGCATTCAATTAATAATTTTTTGGTCAGCCAATCGAATTTACTTGCATTACCACAAAAGGGTAGTTGTAGGAAGTTCCTTTGTTCAAAGGTGATAAAAAACAATGCTATAGTTTCAAGTACCATCATGCTATTGATCTGAACAAAAAAAACCTCAGTGACAAAAACAAAAATGTTGCTCACTCAAATAAAATAATTGTGATCAGTGAAAACTGAATTAGCCAATGATTTTAGAGCATGATGCACGTTGAAACTACAAAAAAAAAGTAAACTATTTTCTTCAATACAAGTTTCCTATTGAACAGCTACTTTCCCAAAACAAGTTTATTTCAATCACAAAGATGTATTTTATTTCTGAAAGTAAATACAGGAAAAAGTTTTCTCAAGAAAACCAAATAGCTTAGCATTCTGGCAATGGTATTTCAAGTACAACATACATGTATATTTTTTTCNAATGAGCTTGCTGTTGCACCTTTAAACAAAGGAGACAAAGAAATTATTTTAGAAAAAAAATTCGATTTTTAAAAACTGATCGAGTTAGAAACAATAATTTTGTATGACCATAAATGCATGTAAATTACAAAAATTTTTTGAAATCCTACCAATTGGTATTGCATTGATTTCATAATTTCTTAATCCTACAACTGAATATACTTTAAATGCATTATTTTGGAAAAACGTAGCTCAGAATTTTTTATATTACTGATCGAGTAATAAATAGCAATTTTGTATAACACTTAAGTAAATTGAATAAATTTGTGAAAAGCAGCAGATTGGTATTGCATTCAATTAATAATCTCTTGATCAGCCAATCGAATTTACTTGCATTACCACAAAAGGGTAGTTTTAGGAAGTTCCTTTGTTCAAAGGTGATAAAAAACAATGCTATAGTTTCAAGCACTACCATGCTATTGATCTGAACAAAAAAAACCTCAGTGACAAAAATGAAAATGTTGCTCACTCAAAGAAAATAATTGTGATCAGTGAAAACTGAATTAGCCAATGATTTTAGAGCATGATGCATGTTGAAACTACAAAAAAAAGTAAAATATTTTCTTCAATACAAGTTCCCTATTGAGCAGCTACTTTCCCAAAACAAGTTTATTTCGATCACAAAGATGTATTTTATTTCTGAAAGTAAATACAGGAAAAAGTTTTCTCAAGAAAACCAAATAGCTTAGCATTCTGGCAATGGTATTTCAAGTACAACATACATGTATATTTTTTTCAAAATCAGACATAAAAATGAAGAGAACCTTAATTGGTTTCTTATGTTGATGTTTGACAAAAGATACTGCTTTTCAGCTCCAAACTCAATTTAAGATTTCCGAGGAAAACCAATGGAAGTGAACAGATTTCACCATAAAGCTGCTCA